ACCTGATACATATGGTGATAACTCAGTGGTGACCACCCCAATATAGCAAACAAGAAGGTGAATACTCACGACCCCTTAGGCCATGGTCTTTCAGTCTTGAATAGTGTTCTTGTCGCCTCCTGTGATACAGTCTGTAAGTCTGCTACAGCGTTTTCCAAGGAGCACATTTGGCATCTTTGAGCTGAATAGCTCTACCTTCTCTGAGCTGTGCCATGCATTCTGGGATATTTACATCTCCAAAACCCATTTCCTGTTACTGCGGTCTGAAAATAGTTGTTTCATATATTTGGTCCAATTTTCTATTTATCTCTAGTGGTGAAGTGAAAGTGTTAGTCACTCAGTCGCGTCCGACTCTGTGACCCCTTGGACGGTAGCCCACCAGGTTCCTCTGTCCGTGAAATTCTCCAGGCAAGAATACTGGCGGGGGTTGCCATTCCTTCTCCAGGTGATCTTTCCAACCCAGGAGTCAAACACAGGTCTCCTCCACTGCAGGCAGACTCTGTACCGTCTGAGTCACCAGGGAAGCCCTGCTAATACTAGGGAAGTTCCAGTTACCCCAACTGCAATCAGTCTGGAACCACTTACTCTGCCTTTGCCAGAAACAATAAATCCCTCAGAATTTGGAAAGCATTTTACATCATCTTCTAGCTTCCAGAGCTGCTCTGGAGACGTCAGATGCCAAGCTTTGCTGTGATGCCTTGTATCTTATTACAAGACACAGCCCTACTGTTGTGTGGTGGGTGTGGAGCTGAGGAAAGCTGGGGTGTAAATCAGAGAGACATGAGCAGCCACATGGGCAACAAACGGTATGAATCATTCCAAAGTTGTATACCCTCAACTTTGAGCTACATACATATATTTGGCCCTCCCTAAGTGGGAGCACTTACAGACTAGGTAAATGGGAGCAGAAATTATGTTTTCCCCAGATCCTCTGCCTTACATGATTCTTGGTTAGAGTTAACCAAAAGAGGGCCTTCTAAGATACTCAGAAAGCAGGAGCAAAGCAGCAGCCAACACTCCCAGGTTATTACCGTAAAGTAAGGAGCAGTTTCCGAGAAGACCACGTGTCCTCAGCCTCCACGCTGCATCCAGCTTGTTTTTTCGAACTGCTAGCCCTGCTCACCACCAGCAACCCCAGGCCCACCTCCAGACACTTGGCTGCAGACTCACAGGCATGGGAGTTGTCTGCAGCAACTGCTTCCCGCTCGGCTCTCCATGAGAATCTTCCAATTCCTATCTGGCAGTCAGCCAGGCTTGGCTTCTCACATGTCACGGCTCCTCCAACCTGTCCCAAGTTGTCTACCAATGCTTCAGGCAGACTCGTGTAATCACTCTTTCTCTGACAGTACCTACAGCCACCGATGAAGGTGAGTATGTACTGCGGGAAGGGAAAATCCCAGAATTTTCAGGCAATACTTCTAGCTCTGAATTGACACTAATTCCTAGAAACCCAAAGTGCTATTGTGTTCCCTCATAAAAGCAGTCTTATGGAAGTGTACTTCCTCAACTGAACCTGGACTGGTACACTAGTGAGAAGGTGAGAAGTCGTGCATAACTCTGTTGAGTGAAGAAGGGGTAGACTGTGGCAAAAACTGCTAGCTGTCCCCTAATATCCATCTTCCTCTTGCTTCTTTAGTCAAAGAACTCTCACGGTTTTAGCTGGGCACATGGTCTTCAGAGAAGAACTACATTTGCCAACCTCCATCACAGTAAGAGGTCTTCCCCGGTGGCTCTGTGGTAAAGAATCTGCCTGCCAATGCAGGAGATGCAGGTTTGCACCCTGGGTGAGGAAGATCCCCTTGAGTAGCAAATGACACCCACTCCAGTATTCTTCCCTGGGAAATCCCATGGACAGAAGAGCCTGGCAGGCTACAGGCCATGGGGCCACAAAGAGTTGAATGCGATAGCGACTGAGCCAAGCAACAACAATCTCAGCAAGAGTGGCTAGCTTATTAAGTTTTGGCCAAGGGGATGTAAGCAGAAGGGTTGTGGGCAACCTCTGGGTTGTGTCCATAAAGGAAAGGGACATGCCTTCCACTCTCCCTTCCCCTCTTCCCAGTTTGCCATATGGCGGGCATAAGGGTGGGGGTGAACCTGTCCTCTTAAATGCTAAGAAGGAAGTCAGGTATTGAGGAAGACAAAACTATATCCAAGGAGCTCCCTAGGTACTGACCCTGGAGCTGCCATGTCAGCCCTGGAATGTTTGCTCAGATTTTTATGCAAAGCAGAAAAACACTGTATCCTATTAAGTTACTGTATTTTGTTTTGCCTTTGTTACAGTAGCCAAATGTGCACCCTAATAGAACACAACTCTTATGTCCTGGCCCTCTCCATTTAAAAGTATAGAGTGTACTCAACAACAACAACAAAAAAAAAAATTAAAAAATGAAGCACAAGACCTAAGTAGACATTTATGCAGAGAAGACCTACAGATGGCCAATAGGCACACAAAAAGATGCTCATCATTGATACTTAGTAGAGAAATGCAAATAAAACTACAATGAGATATACTGGTCAGAATGGCCACTGTCAAAGAAGCAAGTAATAAATGCTGGAGAGGGTGTGGAGAAAAGGGAAGCCCCTACCCACCACACACACTGTTGGTGGAATGTAAGCTGGTGCAGCCACTATGGGGAACAGAATGGAGGTGCCTTAAAAAACTCAGACTACAGCCGCCATGTGATCCAGCAGTGCCACTTCTGGGGATATATTCAAAGGAAATGAAAACAGAAAATTGAAGAGAGATCTGCACTCCCATGTTCACTGAAGCATTCACAACAGCCAAGATGCAGAAACAACCTAAGTGTCTATCAACAAAGGAATAGATAAAGATATGGTATATAAAGAGAAATAACCCCACACAGAGAAGGACAAATACATGGTATCACTTCTATGTGGAATCTAAAAAATAAGAAAATATGTCAAAGTCATAGAAACAGAGTAGAAAAGTATTTGCCAGGGACTAGGGCATGGGAGGAAATAGTAAAAGACTGGTAACAGGGTGCAAACTTTCAGCAATAAGATGAGAATCTAATGTAAAACATGGTGACTGTAGTTGATAACACAGTAACTGATAACATTATGTAATTGAAATTTGCTAAGAGAATACAATTTAATTGTTCTTACCACACAAAAAAGTTTTATATATATATATATATATATATATATATATATATATATGAGGTAATAGATGTGTTAATTACCTAGATGGGCAGAAATCCTTTCCCAATGTATGTGAAAGTGTTCATGTCTTAGTTAGACAGTCATGTCTAACTCTTTGCAACCCCACAGACTATAGCCCACCAGGCTCCTCTGTCCATGGGATTCTCCAGGCAAAAATACTGGAGTGTTACCATTTCCTTCACCAGGGTATCTTCCTGACACAGGTATCAAACTTCACCACCCAGATGACCTTCAATCCTTAGGCAATACAGAAAGGACAAAGAATTCTCAACTCCAGTTAAAACTTTTAGAAACTCTTGCACTTGCTTGGCCTCAACTGTTTTGTTGACCTTTTGTCTTAATGACAATGAAGTCAGTCCCATAGACAGGACTGACTCTGAACCTAGGGCATCTTATCTACCTAGGACTGTTGCCCCAATTTTAGACTCTGCCTTATTATAGGCTGATATAGCCAAATACTGCAAAGGACTCATCTGATACTCAGTTTTGAAATTTTTAAAAATGATACTAAAGTATATTCAACACAAAATTAACCATTTTAACCATTTTTAAGTGGACAGTTCAGTGGCATTAAGTACAATGACACTGTACAACCATTACCACCTTCCATCTCTAGAATATCTTTCATTTTGAAAAACTGAAACTTCGTACCAATTAAAAACCAATTCCTCACCTCCCCCTCCCCCACCAGCCCCGGGCACCCCCCATTCTACTCTGTCCCTATGAATTTGACTACTCTACATATCTCGTGTAAGTGGAATCAATACACAGTTGTATCAACCAGATGCAAGTAGCTTTTCCAAAATATCCTTCAGAACAACCCTATTCACTCTTTAAAACTGAGGCTTCATCTTCTGAAAAAGACGTCCAAAAAAGATTGCCTATGATGGCAATGGAAAGAACGTTACAGGCACTATTAATAACTAACATAGCAGTTAAACTCTGCAGCCTCTATCCTTGCACCTTTGTTTCTTAAGTGAGGAGGAATAAGCCCCTCTTGAATCAACAAGACTGTTCCTGCCAGAGACCTCACCCTGACAGTTCTTAGGAATCTCCCAGAAGCAGAAAACAGCCTCCACTGAAGACTATCAACAAACAAATGACTGTGAAAGAGATAGCCCCAGACATGAAAAGGTAGGGAACTGGTGCTATATACTGTCACACTTCAATCTGTATGCAAGTTTCCTTAATTTTCCTAAATATTTTCCTTCACCTTTGTTGGCTTAAGGTTCTGAATTGTTGGCAAACAGCAATGTAAGCAATGGTTTGCTAAAGCCAGATAGAACCAACTTAAGAAAATCAATTGTGAAACTGTGAGGAATCTTGCCAGACTGATGTTAAACTCTTGGTAGCCTGAAATTAGCCTGTGGAAATATTAACACAATAGAAATCAGAAAACACTACCAACCATGTTCCCAGTCACTCCCACTTTCCCAGAGAATCTTCTGTTAAACATTTACTAACACACCACTGCCTCAGTTCAGTTCAGTTACTCAGTCGTGTCCAACTCTTTTTGACCCCATGCACTGCAGCACGCCAGGCTTCCCTGTCCATCACCAACTCCCGGAGCTTACTCAAACTCACGTCCATCAAGTCAGTGATGCCATCCAACCATCTCAACCTCTGTCGTCCCCTACTCCTCCCACCTTCAATCTTTCCCAGCATCAAGGTATTTTCAAATGAGTCAGTTCTTTGCAGCAGGTGGCCAAAGTATTGGAGTTTCAGCTTCAACAGCAGTCCTTCCAATGGAGATTCAGGACTGATTTCCTAAAACAAAACAAAATCAAAACAAAAAAAAAGGACTGATTTCCTTTAGGATGGACTGGCTGAATCTCTTTGCTGTTCAAGGGACTCTCAAGAGTCTTCTCCAACACCACAGTTCAAAAGCATCAATTTTTCGGCACTTAGCTTTCTTCACCATCCAACTCTCACATCCATACATGACTACTGGAAAAACCATAGCTTTGACTAGATGGACCTTTGTTGGCAAAGTAATGTCTCTGCTTTTTAATACTCTGTCTAGGTTGGTCATAACTTTTCTTCCAAGGAGCAAGCATCCTTTAATTTCATGGCTGCAGTCACCATCTGCAGTGATTTTGGAGCCCAAAAAACTCTTATCATATTATGCTAGAAAGGGAGGTTCTTGAATCCACTTGTGGACTTTTAAGAGGTGCCAGTCTTAATAACTAAAATTTCATGGTAGTTCAGTTACTAAGTCGTGTCTTACTCTTTGCAATCCCATGGACTGTAGCCCACCAGCTCCTCTGTCCATGGAATTTCCCAGGCAAGAATACTGGAGTGAGTTGCCATTTCCTTCTCCAGGGGATCTTTCTGACCCAGGGATTGAACCCGAGTCTCCTGAATTGGCAGGAGGATTCTTTATTGCTGAGCCACCAGGGAAGGCCCAAACTTTCATTGTAATGGGGTTTTTACAAAACAAGGAGCTTGTGGGTCAGATTTCTGTTTTTCAGTGTGATCTGGCTATCATCCATCTGTATATTGGGCCTCTCATTTCTCAACTTTTTCACTTTCTCTTCAAATCTTCTCATTTCTCCTTATTCCTCCTTAATATTTGTCTTTTCTCAGAACTCAATAAAGATTGGAAAAGAGGAATGTGAAATGTGATCAAGGTTCAATGTGTAACAAAACATTTTCTTCATTCACATCAAGCTCTCAATAACTCGTCTTAAATAAAGGATGCAGAATTGGGGAAATTTTGTGATCCAGAATGTGTAGTAAAGTTTGTTCTCATGTTTTTGTTGCTGTTCAATCACTTAGTTATGTCTGACTCATTGCCATGCTATGGACTGCAGCACGCCAGGCTTCATTGTCCTTATTATCTCCCAGAGTTTGCTCAAACTCATGTCCATTGAGTCAGTGATGCCATCCAACCATCTTATCCTCTGTCGCCCCCTTCTCCTCATGCCCTCAATCTGTCCCAGCATCAGGGTCTTTTTCAATGAGTCAGCTCTTTGCATCAGGTGGCCAAAGTATTGGAGCTTCAGCTTTAGTATTAGTCCTTCCAATAAATATTCAGGGTTGATTTCCTTTAGGATTGACTGGTTTGATCTCCCTGCTATCCAAGAGACTCTCAAGACTCTTCTCCAGCACCACAGTGCAAAAGCATCAATTCTTTGGCGCTCAGCCTTCTTTATGGTCCAACTCTCACATCTGTACATGACTACTGGAAAAACCATAGCTATTCGGACATTTGCTAGCAAAGTGATGTCTCTGTTTTTCAATACACTGTCGAGGTTTGTCATAATGTTTCTTCCAAGGAGGAAGCATCTTTTAATTTCATGGCTGCAGTCACAGTGATTTTGGAGCGCAAGAAAATAGTCTCTCACTGATTCCATTTTTTTTCCCCATCTATTTGCCATGAAGTGATGGGATCAGATGCCATGATCTTAGTTTTTTGAATGCTGAGTTTTAAGCCAGCTTTTTTACTCTCCTCTTTCACCTTCATCAAGACGCTCTTTAGTTCCTCTTTACTTTCTGCCATTAGGGTGGTGTTATCTGCATATCTGAGGTTACTGATATTTCTCCCTCAATCTTGATTCCAGCTTGAGATTCATCCAGTCTGGCATTTCGCATGATGTACTCTGCCTAGTAGTTAAATAAGCAGGGTGACAATATACATCCTTGACGTACTCCTTTCCTGATTTTGAACCAGTCTGCTGTTCCATGTCCAGTTCTGTTGCTTCTTGACCTGCATACAGGTTTCTCAGAAGGCAGGTGAGGTGGTCTGGTATTCCCATCTCTTTAAGAATTATCCACAGTTGTGATCCACAAAGTCAAAGGCTTTAGTGTAGTCAATGAAGCAGAAATAGATCTTTTTCTGGAATTCCCTTGCTTTTTCTTTGATCCAAGGATTTTTCTATGACCCAATGGATCATGAGATTTGTTCTCATGAACAAATAATAAAAAATAAAATAAAAAATTTTATTTAAATAAATGAAGTAAGAAATAGATGGTGTATATTCAGGGGTTCTCTCTCCCTTACACACCTTAGGAGACTGGCACATCACTTAAGCTCAACTCTGAGCTCTTTTGTTTTACATCTAGCTTGTGGTTTCTCTACTATGAATTCAGTCACTGTCACTGGACCAAAGGGGTTTTCCTGATAGCTCAGTTGGTAAAGAGTCCGCCTCCAATGCAGGAGACCCTGGTTCGATTCCTGGTTGGGAAGATCCGCTGGAGAAAGGATAAGCTACCCAATCCTGTATTCTTGGGCTTCCCTTGTGGCTCAGCTGGTAAAGAATCCGCCCGAAATGCAGGAGACATGGGTTTGATCCCTGGGTTGGGAAGATCTCCTGGAAAAGGGAAAGGCTACCCATTCCAATATTCTGGCCCTGGACCAAAGCTGACAAGTGACTTGAGGTGGAGAACACTTACTTCCCATGAAAATTTTGGGCTGAAAACTAGCTCTTAATTCCTTTTATACCTTGTTTGGCTCCAAAGCAGAATATTTCTCAGTGGAGGTAGATGGGAAATGCAGACCATTTCTCAACCTTGCCTGTAGAAGGCAGGCATCACTGCTTGTCAGCACAAGCCTGCACAACTCAGCACCAGCCTAGGCGTTTAATTTCTATAATTAAAAACTAACATTCCCACAACTGGGAGTGATCCCAATTGTCCGTTTCTAGGCACAAGTTGCCCTCACTCTAAGCATGTAAATGTATCAATCTGCTGGATTTAAATTACAACAGAAACGCTTTTTTCATGTCTCAGTTATAAAGAAATGGACTTTTTTTTTTTCCTTAAACATATATTTTCATTTTTTTACACTGAAATAACTCATCTATTTGGAGTATATTTTAATGAAAATTAAAGGGAATGTAGGGCTTCCCAGGTGACTCAGCGGTAAAGAATCTACCTGCCAATACAGGAGATACAAGAGACATAGGTTCAATTCCTGGGTCAGGAAGAACTCCTGAAGTAGGAAATGGCAACCCATTCCAGTATTATTAGCTGAAAAATTCCATGGACAGAGAAGTCTGGCGGGCTACAGTCCATGAGGTTGCAAAGGATCAGACACAACTGAGCAACTGAGCACACACACATATACCTGTAAAGGAAATGTAAATCCAAATACATATATTTTTCCAAATGGCTCTCCAGTCATGTTAAAATCATTTTCAACTTTTTAAGTTAATCTCTTTCCTCAATGATATAAGATGCTACCTTTCTCAAATGCTAAATTTCCATAGGTACTTGGAACTATTTCCACTGGTTTGTCTATCTAGCAAGGCATCAACACCCACACGTTTGAATTATAGGGTCTTTATAGTACTTTTTAATATGGAGTAAAGGTAGCCCCTTCTCATTGCTCTTCCTTTTGAAGACTTTGAAAGGTGTGTGAGTGTGTGTGTGGGTGCATGCTAAGTTACTTCAGTTCTGTCTGACTCTTTGCAACCCTATGGACGGTAGCCCCGTCAGGCTCCTCTGTCCATGGGATTCTCCAGGCAAGAATGCTGGAGTGGGTTACCATGCCCTCCTCCAGGGGATCTTCCCGACCCAGGGATCGAACCTGCGTCTCCTGAGACACCTGCACTGCAGGCAGATTCTTTACCACTGAGCCACCAGGGAAGCCCCTTTCATAGGTACTCCTAAGCAGGAATGATACAAATAAATTCCTTATTTATTTTTCCATTTGAAGTTTAGGATCCAGTGCCAGGAAAATTTTTGCCAGTATCTTTTGGGGGAATTACGTTAAATTTATATGCTAACCTCAGGAGGTTTGACTTACTTATGATGTTAAATGGTCCTATCTAAGAACAAGGAATGTGTTTTTTATTTTTGTTGAACTCTACTTTTGTGATCGTTCAAGATGGCTTCAAAACCTTTCTCATATAGGCTTTGTGCATAATATTTCAAAGCACAGTGACCCCGTTCTGTGTGACTAGGTCGGTTGACTACGACGAATCATTATCAGCAGCTGGTCTCTATGAGGACAGGTGAGGAAGTGGACTGACTGACAGGGAAAAAGAAGAGCAAACGTCCTCTATGTCCTACTCTCCCTGATCTTAGTTCCATGACCAACCCCCCCCCCCCAAAGATCTGTGTATGTGCACATCACTGGCTATGCCACTATGCAGCAGTCATTCAAAAGCTGTCTTTAGTAAGCTTTACTGGACAATGTGGCTGAGCAGAAAGCGCAACGGGAAACAGACATGAGTGAAATTTTGGATTTAGTGTATAACAGAGCTTTGGAGTTGGACCATTTTATACCCCATTCAGAGACTTCTGAAGAAAACTTCTTCTGCCCAATGAGCTGATTCCAGCAAGAATCAAAGGAGGAATACCAAGCATCAGGAAAGTGGTTTCCCAAAGGTGAAAGCAGGACTTCTCAGATACTGTCAGCTGTCTCTATGTGAGAGATAGCTGAACTCCAGGTTAACTCCAGGCCTGCTTTACAACCTAACAGCATAACAGAGTATATAAAATAAGGAAATACAGGAGGAGAGGGAAAAGCCAATTTCTTTCCTCAAATCCTCCAGCTCCTCTTTAGCTCAGAGAACAAAGGGGTTTACTCTGTGGGACCAAAAGCGACCTTGTGTTAATGTGTTCAGCCCTCTCTGTTGGTGCCATCATCTTAGCTGCCATGGGTCCCCTGAGTTTCCCACACGTTGACAAAATAAAAGGCCTTCTCTTCCCTAAGGTTTCCCTTGCTTTGGATCTTTCCTAAAGCCTTATTCCATCTCAAAACATACCAGAACATCCATAAAATGGGGAACTCTGTACCTGTAAAAAGGAATGCAGAGGACTCCCCAGTGGTCCAGTGGCCAAGAATTTGCCTGACAGTGCAGGAGACATGCGTTCGATCCCTGCTGGGGAAGATTCCACATGTTGTGGGGCAACAAGGCCCATGCACCACAACTACTCTACGCGCCCTAGAGCCCGTGCTCCACAACAAGAGAAGCCACTGCAGTGAGAAGCCCACACACTACAGTGAAGAATGGCCCCTGCGCGGTGCAACAAGAGAAAGCTGTGCACAGCAACAAACACCCAACACAGCCAAAAATACATAAAAGTGTTTAAAGAAAATCTCTATATATAACAGGAGAACGACTGCCAGGATATGTCGTTAGGAGAGAAAAATCCCGGTAGATAAACTGTGTACAATTTGTTAGCATTTATCTAAGAAAAACAACTGCAGGTACAGCTACGTGTGTGTGCACGCTCAGTCATGTCCAACTCTTTGCGACCTCATGGACTGTAGCCTGCCAGGCTCCCCTGTCCATTGGATTTTCCAGGCAAGAATCCTGGAGTGGGTTGCCACTTCCTGCTCCAGGGGATCTTCCCGACCCAGGGATCGAACCCGAGTAGCCTACACTGGCAGGCGGATTCTTTACCACTGAGCCACCTGGGAAGCCCAGATATACATACACAGGTAACATTTACATGAAAAAACAAACAATGGAGACGGTCCACCAGCCCTGCCCCTGCTCCCACCAGCCTAGTCGGTGCATGCCTGGAGATCCTGTAGGCTCACTGCACCACGTGTGGCATCCCGATTCGCTGTGGTTGTGATGACTGTTCCTCTGGTCGGTGTATGACGGGTAGCAAGATTGCACACGAAGGTGCAGATGCATTGCATCCTTAGAATGTCAGTGGTTACACCAGCTGCTGCTTTGGGTTCCCTGGTTGGCAGTAGTTGAGCAACCGTTTGGAAAGCAGCTAATCTGAGCAGCGAAATATCCTTAATTGTAGGTTTGTTAACGATGGTGAGATCTTTCTCCACAAAGAAGTAAAACACCATTTTAAATTTGATCACCAGACCAAAGCAGATGGTGAGATAATCCTTTGTCTTTATGGCAAAGGAGGAACTGAGCAGACAATCTGTATGTTAATTGGGTTGTACACATTTATTTTTTTGGATACTACCAATAAGAAAGTGTTGCTAGGCAGAGAGACACCTGTGCAGTCAGATCTTTCTTTACAGCCACAATAGAAGATGGATTTGGGGCTGTGTGTTCAGAAGCTAAAGGTCTTGTTAGTTTAAAGCACTCCACAACTCCTTTTTCAAAGTGGAGCCTTTTTTTCCCAGCACACAATACAGTTTTGGATTTAAAGCCAAATGGCAAAGCAGCATCAGTAGAGATGAACTTTGTCCTGCCCTCTGTAACAGATTTTGAAATAGAAATTATGAAAAGAGGTGAGGTGAACTGGAAACAGCTAGTGTAAACAACTCTTTCAAGGACTTTCGCAATAAAGGAGAGTGAGAAACAGAACAGAAATATTATAGCATGTATGGATATGCATATACTATGAATGAAGAAAGGGGAAAAACTGATGATGCAAGAGACAGGAAACAG